ACCAATGAGATCCCTGAAGGATCCATTGGCACTGATCCTGGTCGCTTCAGCTGGGCGAAGGGCGTGGTTGGCGCTGTTCAACGTGTGCGTGGTGCTGGGGGATTTTGATTTACCCTATACTTGCTATTACCTTACGACATCTGTTGATATCTACTCCTCACTGTCTAATTTCGGATCTTTTCTGGTGTATATAATCTTTTGACCTGTATATGCTAATGTGAACAAGAAGCTGCAATTTCGGGCGGGACCATGCTTTTGGTGTACTGAAGCCTCATTCGAGGCTCCAAGTCAAACTTCAAAGTATTTTCCCGCCTTGCCATACATCGCACAGTTAATCGACCAGGCCAATAGCCATTCTTCTGAAAGCCATCTTCTCAACAGGTGAGAAGGAGTGGACGTAGTTCGTGTCAGGTCTGGCCCTTTCGGGCCTATGGAGGCTCTGGGCTACCTGGCTCTGTGCGAGTCTAGAAGAGACGATCTCGATGCATTATCGTGTCTCTGGGTGGTGGTCCACGGTTCGGGGTATTATTACTTCTTTGGGTGAAAGTCGAGGCCAGTCAAACTTCTGGCTCCCATGACGGAGCGGAACTCCCGAACTATCCTCGGTCGGTTTCAGTGCTAGACCTCTATGAGAAGCACCAGATGGTCCTGCATAAGGTTTGCTTACAGAGACAAGACAAACAAACATATGAGCAGCTTCTATCTCAAGTTTCTCAATCCATGATGGACTAACTACCAGCATCAGCTAGAACCATATATATCCACACGGGGTGCGCAGTAGAAGTATAGATATTGCCCGTAGGGCTGATCAAGGACGGTGGGTGTACAAGCCCAGAACAGGGGGAAAGTCTACTACTCTACAGGTGAGTTTGACTCTGGGAATGAATACCAGGTAGCCGAGCAGACAACACGGTCGCTGGGCCCGGTCTACAATCTTCCATTATTCTACTTATCTCTTTCTTTGGAATTGGTAGTGATAGGGTTGTTGCTCCGTCTAGTACGCTACCGCCAGAATCTTGGGCAAGAGTGGTTGGTAACTTCACCCAGAAAAACAGCATATGCAGGGTGATTCCAGCTAGCTTTAAATCACACCGTAGTATCCTAACTAGCTGCCTACCTCTAACCAAGTTCCTCAAAACAATCAAGGGTGAACACGCCCATCATCCTCACCATCCAGGCAACCTGCAAAAGGCACAGTTTGCAAATCACGAAACGTTCCCCACCCCCTGCAACGTCAAATACACATCCGTGCCCCAGCCCCAGAGACTCTGGATGGCGATACTGCCCCCAAAGTACTCGGCGTACGCGCGACTCAACGGCAGCCCGTACCCGAGTCCGGCGATACTGCTTAGATGTCCATTCGCTCCTCCACCACTGGTGGACGCAATCGTGTTCAGCGCCTCCATGCCTTCGTTGCTCTCCGAGCCCCCGTTGTGCTCATCGTACTCCGAGAATGTCGTGAAGCTGTACGACCAGATATTCGGCAGCACTTCGGGAGGGATGCCGCCGCCGCGGTCGCGAATGCGGATCGTGATGCACTGCGCGGACGGCGGCGTGGTCCAGGCTTTGATGGATTCGTTGGCGTCGGCGGTGCCGACGACGGTGTTGTCCATTTCGAAGCCTAGGTCTGCCTCGGATTGTGGGGGGCACGGGTGATCTTGTTGCAGTGATTGTTGCTGCTGCCAGCCTTTCGTGGTCATTCTGGCGAGGGGATCATGGTGGTGATGATGGGAAGAGGGGACGTCCGGGGCGGCGGCGATGGTGACTTCGATGGGTTCGTGGCCGTTACCGGACTCGACGGTCGCGCGGAAGGCGTTCTTCAACAGCTCTGTGAGGATGTATTCCACGTGGACCGGGACGTGCGCGAACGAGGCGTCCGGCTGGCCGCCGATGACGAGCCGGGGCCGCACGCCGTATTTGAGTTCGCAGATCTCGCCGACGAAGTCCTCGCAGAGCTTGACAATCCGGGCCGGTTGCAGGGCGGTGTCAATCACTCCGATGTAGTTGGACGGAGCCGCGGTCGCGTCCTTGGCTGGTGGGGATGATTGCGGTTCTCGTTGTCCCTTGGACTCGTGGTGGCTGTCCCGGATTGGCTGCGAGGCGAAATGAAGCGCCAGGTGTTGCTCGGCGATGAGGCGGGTGCCGATGCGGGCGCGGAGGTGGGTGTCCAGGAAGCGGGTGACATCGGTGGGGTCGATGTAGCGGCGACATTCGAGGAATCCGCGCGCGAGGATCGGGATTGTGTTGGTGTGTGTGTGCACTAGGTCGGCCAGGACATCGGCGAACTGGGTCAGCTCTTCCACGGTAGTAACCTGGCGCTGTTGGTAAGGGAGGAGGGTGGAGAGTGAGTGGAGGTAGTTGTTGTAGATCTGCGTGACATGGGGGTTCGAAACGACGATGAAGGGGAGGTTCCGGAGGGCTTCGATTCGTGACGCCAGCCGTGCTGGGAGCAGGGACAGGGTGAAGTTGGCCGAGGCGAGGAGGGCATCCTTGGATAACGGCGGTCTTCCGTGTCTGGAGCAGACGCCAGCATTAGTATCTACAGCGCTGTAGTTTCGATGCGATCTCAGGTTTGTAGTACCCAAGAGGCCAGGCAACTTACTTGAGCAAGTCTGTCAGCGTCAGTGGCCGTCGACGACTGGCTGCAAGACGTGCGACTTCATCGTTAGCCCCATATGCGAAGGGGTGTTGTGAGGTTGAGACGTGTCGGAGAGATGACGCCGACCACGGGCGTGTCTTAGGAAGGGTGCATAGTTGTGTGCGCGAGAGTCTGGCGCCCACAGACGGCATCTGCAAAGCCCGTGGTAGTGTCATCACGGTTTGTAGCCATCCTTCAGCATCAAATCGGGGAGGTTAACTTATCAGTAATGACCTCACTGCGTCCCTGCTGGGGGGGGGATTCCCGCACATTCTGCCGAAAGGCGGTATGCTAGTTTGCAGCCAGTTGGCCCCGCAAATAGCCGATAATGCCTTATCTTCTCAATCGTATAGTCCATCTCATCAGCCTATTTACTGGAATTGCAAGGCTACCATCAGGACATATGCAGTGTAACAATAGGATTATCTTCCTTGCAGTTATTACCAAGAGACCCGGTGCATTTATCACCGATAACAGTCGGTTATACCCGCTTGCATGCTCCATTTGCCTCCCGATTGCCTTGTCTCTACCATTCCTACTATCTCGGACTGGTATGCCTAACCAATATCCATGATCATGTAAAAATGTATTTCGATCTATCAACCACTAAACTACAACAAGTGGTACTATGTTAATGCTTCATCTTTGCTACATGAGTTAGTAGCCTACGCTTCCCTTGCTTGGGCTGGAAGGCTGTTGGTCACTACCTGGTATGCATTCACCTTCCACTATCTAAATCTATACATTCACAGTAGAATTCGTATTCAAGGTTGCTATCGTTTACTCACCTAGATACTATACTGCCTTCTAATTGTTCTCCCTTCCTCTCATTCTTCTCTCCTTCTCCATCTTACCCACTATCTTCTCTACCACTTCCCACCTGCCAGCATCCACCTGCCTAGACAATCAGATGCTAATATCATACCTCTACCCTCCCGGTGGATCGTGAAGCCCCAAAGACAAAAGGAAAGGGGTATGATAGAGTAGTATCAAGGCTACCGATCCATCAGCAAGGTAGGTATTGCTCCTTCTGTTTTATACATCCCACCAGCTAATACGCTCTGGAAAGGTGTCAAAGGCGTGTTTGACCCGACTCTAGGACTGGATTGTGATGCACATATTTGGAAAGCATGGCTGCCTCTTTTCCCCGCGATACAAAGGTTACTACATTCTGTGCGGTGGACGTGTAGCCCAGGTAAACCACCTTCGGCGACCTCCCGCGGGCAAGCTTAACATAGCACATATCACGTCCTGGGATCCGCCATCCGACTACGTGATCCAGATCACCAGCGCGGTGACTGGCGACTCTGGTGTTGGTTTTCGCTACCTTGCATACAAGAACGACTGGGGAGGCTTGGGCAATCTGGCCGCAGCCTCTTAGGCTTTGTTGCCGTATGCGTCGAGGCCAACAAAGCGGATATCTTCAGAAACGCGGCACTCCAGCTGATCCGCCTTATTAGCCATGTGCTACCACGAGTGAAGGTCAGACGGGGATACCTATTTTGCAGCAAGATGAGAGCGATCTCGCCATTGTCTACAATTTCATGATAAGCCAAATGGGGACAGCAGTAAATCTTGTCACCAACGACAACCCCCCGTTAAGGGGATACATACACAGAGAGTAAAAGAGACTCAGTCGAGTCTTACGCCCAAACCCGCGTTTGGGGGAATCTTCGACCCAGTCCTGTGCTGTTCGGATGGCGAAGAAGAAGAGGAATAGTTCTTCAAAGATGTCCGTAATTTTGCATTGGGCAGACGAGCCATGTCGTGATCTTTCTTGCCTTTTCCAATTTGCAGACCTGCATTGGCTATAGCAATTGAATTGTTAGCAGTTTACTTTCCACTGGCCAGCCAGAGTGCAGCTCTCTGGGGGTCCACTGGTGGAAGCAGCAAACCAATAGCTAGACATTTTCTTTTGTCATTAGTTATGTATATATATTGCTCCAGGCTCAGCAAATCGTCAAATATCAGTATAGAAACTCTATTTCCATTACACTCAGATCTACCATAAGCGGCACGATAGCGGTGGCTGCAAAAGAGGGCTTGGCGACTTGTATCCTGGCTGACCAGGGAGGGTAGCGTTGCGAACAACAAGCCTTGTAGTCATTACGCTGGAAAAAAGATATGATGCAATCGATGTATGTTATCATTGACAAAAAAAAGAGAAAAGAAGCAAACGACACAACACCGCGCTCAGCTCGGAATCACCGCACAGCGGACGATCCGGTCCTCACACTCATGATGCTAAGCCTCCTTGCTCTACAGAGAAATAAAATGATTTCGTAACTCGTACATGACACACACCCTTTAATCCCCCTTCGTTGTGTCCGCAAGTCCAGTGAGAGGGAAAGCCGGTGGGCGCTTATTGAGTGCGCACCTCGCCGTCCTGCTCGACATGCACGTGTTCATTGGCCTCGAGCGAGAGCACGCTGTCCTCGGGGTACTCAACACTAGCGCAGTAGTCAGCTAGTCTGCCCTGTCGAGGTGGTTTCGGGAGTGTGGGTTGTGCGGAGTGGAGTAGTTGGGTAGCGGGAGGGTGGGTGTTGGCTGCCTTACGTGAAGCCCTTGATGAGAGAGTACTCGTGCTTGATGGTGCCGCCCTTCTCGGTGGCCTGCTGCTTGGCCCTGATGACAGGAGAAGAGGATGTTAGCTTGTGTTCATAAAGAAAGTCACTGAACAAGGCAGGGGATCGCTTACTTCTCCAACTCCTCGGGGGGAGAGTCCTTCTTCAGGGTGACCTGAAACAATGGTTAGTGTTTCCGAAGAGGGGGGGAGGGGGGGGAGAAATCAGCGGGGAAGTGGAGCGCAACGAACGTTGTAAAGAGGCATTTTGGTTGCGGTGTGATGAAAGGCAGAGAGCCGTGAGAATCTAATGAGAATGATGGCTGGATGGGGGAGTGGTTTATGGAAAGTGGATTGAGGGAAGAAAAGCGGTGCCCGGGGAGGTGGGACGAGAGAAGGTTTTATACTCTGTTGCGTGGTTCTAGTCTGAATAGGCAACCCTTTCTGCGGGGGGGAGGGAAGTTGCCCGTTGCCCGCACGGCTGATAAGGGGTCGAAGGTAGGAATAATGGTGGTGGTGGTGGTGGTGGTTACAGCCACTAACTAATCGACTTTACCGGTAAGAGGGGGAGGGGCATCCGTTTTTTTCTTTCCCTTTCTTACTACTTGCGCCATGCCTGACAACATGTGTGTCACTTAGTCAAGTTTAAGTTATTCTAATTGTCAAGTCTACTCCTGATCAGGCTACAAGCGGAGTGAAGTCACCCATTGCGATAAGACGGTTGTTTATCCCCCACCAGAAAAGCCATGACGCATGCGCGATGACGCTATCAGAGGGTCACGTGGGCGCCTGGTTCAAAGCCCCTCGGCTCAGCTCAACGCCTTTGTCCCAATCGGGATCTCTTGTGAGGATCAACGATCTTATCCCATCTCATGCACAGTGACGACAAGGGAACCCCCCCCCCCGTAGATCGGTCTGTCAGAAAAACTTGTTCTGACATACTATACTACTTGCGAACTCCGAGACATCAAGCATGAATTCAATACTGGATATCAATGTCGTTCGTGCCTATGATTCGTTGATTCGTGATCTCTGTACAGTCTGTCGTGATATTCCCCATTACCTTGGGTCACTTCCTATTGGTGATCAACCACTATGCACAGCCTCAGATATCCTTCAGAAACCCAACTTCAATCACTCGTTCCGCCTCGAGACCCAAAGATGCAATCTTGGCCCTGGTGTTATCTCTGATCCACAAGAAGATCCAGAGCACCAGACCACGGAACATATTGGTGCCTTTCTTGATCCTCATCTGCTCCTTGCCGGTGATATAGAGGATGCTATGCACACACGCGCGCTCAAGCTTGTTCAGCGGGTCACTATATCGGACCAGGCTGCTAGACTGCGCTGCCTCCGATCCACTTTCTCCTTGACTTTCTGTGCTCGGAGATCGATGTCCACTCATTGCGACTCCATCCAGCTCCATGCCGTGCCCATGATCGATAAGGTATCTGCGGACCTGGTCCGTGATGGTACTGGCTAGATTCGGAGTCATGATCTCATCATTGTAGCCGTAACGGACCACAAGCCGATAGCAGTTGGGGATGGCGAGCCGCGAAACGGTATACCTGTCTTCCACGGGGACTGATGGCGTCTCGAGGGGTCGCAGGTGGAAGAACACAATTACTTCCGGCATAGAGGTGAGCTTGAGGATGAATTGACTGAACACGATAGGGGTGGTCTCGCCCGCCTTGTCGAAGAAGATCCCGACCCCGGGGTTGGTGCTCAAAGGGACTCCGTTGAAGCGGTCGGTGAGACGCATCCTACCATCTGGATCTTTGGTCACGAAATGTGAGGTAGGGAACCGATCCTCGGCCTCGGCAAACCACTGCTGCTCTTTCCCAAACCTCCATAATAGGAACACGAGTGCTAGAATGGTCGCTAGCGCTAGAGTGAACCATGCACCTGTAGGAACCTTCGTGAGTGCCGATGAAAGATATGCCCCATCAAAACAAGCGATCGCAAGCCAAGGTATGAAGACAATGAATGGGCTGATGCGCCACACGAATATTGCTACCATCGAGACCATACAGGTGTCAAAAAACGTGACAAAGATGACACAGACACCGTATGCATTTCCAAGAGATGTGGTCTTCGTTGCGTCAGAGAAAAGAGCCATAGCAAATTAGAGAGGTAACATACGTTATTGTAGATCGACGCTACCAGGATCGTCCCAACCATCAAGAGCCAGTTGACAATCGGAATATAGAGCTGGCCGTGGAACACATCGGACGTGTGTACCACTTTGATCTGGGGAAAGTAGGATAGCTTCATCACTTGTGCCAGAAGCTGCTGTTGCATCAGAACATGCATCACAATCATTGCCACCAACAAGAAAAGAGTCCCATACCTGGAAAGTTGCAGTGATAATGGCCTGCGATGCAACGATCGCCGCGAGGATGGCAATAATCAAGGCCGGATAAATAGTACCCGGCGGCGCTGCTTTATAGAACGGGTTAGAGTAGGCTTCCGGGTGCACACTGATGTATGCCGCCTGCCCTATGTACGCCAACAGGAGACATGGGAAGGTGTAGCACAGCCAGCTGATCTGGATGGCTTGCCGACTGAAAGCGCCCAAGTCGGCGAAGAGAGCCTCAACCCCAGTGAAGGCGAGCAAGGTTCCGCTCAGCATGCGCCATCCAGACTCGCCATGTCGAACTAGGAATGTGAAGGCGTAACCCGGGTTGAAGGCAATGAAGACACCGGCATCATAATGTGCGAGGTTGTAGATGCCAAACACGGCATTGAACCCCAGCCAGATAATCACGATTGGCGCAAATGCAAACGTCATCTTGGTGATGCCAAGCGGTTGTATCAGAAACAACACGACCAAGATAGCATCAGTCACGCCGATGACGGTGCCTTTGGAAATGTTGGGGGAGACGATCTCAATACCCTGCACGGCTCCTAGGACGGACTGAGCTGGAGTGAGAAGGCCATCGGCCAGGACCATTGTAACCGCCAATACGCCCACCACTTTCAGAAGATGCCTTGCAAACTTGCTTGTCTCGAGGCTATGTCTGGCGTATCTGCTGGCTCTTTCAAGATCGTTCGACAGGTGTCTTTTCATCTGGACAAGCGAGGCTTCTCGAGGATCGCGATGGGTTATATTCATCTACAGCCAGCGTGTTAGTCCAGTACCTGGCATGTCTTGAAGATGACGAACTAACATAGCGACTGAGTAGAGAATACGTGCTGAATGTACCACCCTCGCCGTCATTATCAGCATGGAGCACAATGAAGATGTACTTGACAGTCACCATCAAAATTAAGGACCATATGATGATGGAGAGGACGCCGATGAGATCTTCTCGCGAAGGTGGCGCGCTGAATGTCGATGAATAGACATAAAGCGGACTGGTCCCGATATCACCATAAATCACACCGATGGATTGATATGCGAGCCACAGAAGCATCTTGCCTTTGAACACCTGCTCGCGTCAATTCTGACCAGCCTCAATGACTACAAGGACGTCAACAATACCTGCTTCTGCTTATAGTCGCCTGGCTTGCGCAGGCCGGGGTCATCGTCATGCTCCTCGACCGTGCTCGATCTCTTCTCAGACTGATTCAGACAGTTGTTCCAAGGACGAACATTGTAAATCGTATCGTACGGCTGTGAAGGCTCTTTGTGGACCTTCTCGCCTACAGTAGGCGCCTTCTCAGCCTCAGATTCTGAGTCCATGCTGATAGTGTGGGATAGTGACAGCCCGGGAACCGCTCGACAAATGTTAGAGAATAGAGAACATCCGAACAAACACAATCAGGCAACAGTAAAAAGTTCGGGTTCGGAGGAGTAGTTGCATCAGCTGAAAGGCAAGCATGGTCAAGCTTATGGCCGAGCTCCTTGTATTTGTATCACTCGTTTCAGCCTCAAAGTCAGCGGTAGTAGCGATTCCATGGTTCCAGACATTCTTTTCTCGATGACAGGCCTGTCGCGACGGGATATCTCGACATCGACAAATTGCAATTATCCTACCATTCGTATCCTTATCTCTGTAGATTCCTTTTTTTTTCTCTTTCGATCGAAGATATAAAGCAAAGATAAGCAGGATAGCTAGCTGAGCTTTCTCTTGTACGAGGCATTTTTCATGACCAGCGCTGCTCTCTCGATCCTCTCGGTGCGGGATTTGTTGACACCAATGGCTCCCCGGCCCCGCGCGATAAGCTGGACAAGCATCGTGGCACATGGGATCGCACTCTCACTCCGACTTGCTCGAAGCTCCAGATCGAGGTATTACTGTGCAGGGATGTTCGAGGTCAATGAACCGTGTCTGATATCAATTCCGTGGGCGGGAGTGGTCGTCCTGGCCACACCCGTGCCTCAATCCTTGGTGTCGTCGAACGCTTGAACAAATCAAATCAGATCAATTGTGGACCATGCAATTTGAATGCCGCATCTATCAGTTTCATTTCTGTGTGCAAATGGGGAAGCTTCACTCTACTAAACGTACAGAGCAATAATCTAAGCTGCAGAGACCTTATTTCCCCCGTTACAGCCCAACATACCCCGTTCCATCCTCCTCCCTCTGAGGCATCTTCATGCCATGTGCGCCCAGATATTTAGGACTCTGGGGTGCTTTCCATCCTTCCAACACCGTCGCGTCCGCGAGTTTGTATACTTCCACCCCTAAAGGACGAGTTGTAGCCCCCATGTCCGCCTTTTCCTCCCAGCCCCATTCCGACAAGTCCCCTGCGGAGCCTCATTAGTTGTGTTACAATACACCCCCTACTAGAGAACTTACCTCCAGGACACGCGGAAAGCGCACACAGAACATCCACCTCCGCGAAGAACTCAAAGTACTCCCCCGCTTTGGCCGGCGAAGTCTCCATGAAGTATTTGCCCTGCTCGTCCAGTCCCGTCACCTGAAACACGTTGAGCACATCGTGCACATCGAGCTCGGTCAGCCCATACGGCACCACCGCCCGGGTCAGGTTCGAATGGCAGTGAAAGTCGAAGCTCTCGCCGCCCATGACGAGGTTGACGTAAGGGTCGCAGCGAGTGCCCAGGAGGTCGTGCACGCGTCCGCCGAACTGCGTGGTCCCAAAGCCCTTCCCTTCTTTCTTCTTGCCCTCTTCGTCCAGGATCTCATGGAGCTGGCCGCCGGCGAGGGAATCCCCGGTGATGGAAACCAGGGGACGCAGGTACGGCAGGTTGGACCAGAGCCGGTCGCCCACGGACACGTGGGAGGCATGGATCTGGCGGGTACGTGCAGCCCACAGTCGCTCCCGGGGGTTGTTCGCGTTCCAGATGTTCAGGTCACCCACCTGCGGCCCCTTCGGAGTGGTGAGACGGCAGATGTGGCCGGCGGGGACCACCCACGCTTGCCCGGAGCATGGTCGGATCGTGAAGGATGACTCAAGGACGCGCTGGGAGGGCTCGTTCGCCGTTTTGGAGATGGATCTGTAGACTTGCGAGATCGCATGGACCCCGGAGTCTGGGGGAGCCGTGTATGCGGGCGGTGGGCGACGTGCAGCAGCCATATTCCGCGGGTGCTTCTTCCTCTGGATCTACTTGAATTTGTAATGGGAACGAAAGCCCTTAGATATGCAACCAAAATTTAGGAATTAGGATTCTGACTTAGAAAACAACCTCGGGGAAAAGGAATCCGGCACCAT